GAGCCTGAGCCACACTGCAGCTGGATGAGGCTACCCAGGTAGACAGGGAAGAGAAGTTGGAAAAGGCTCTCCCCTTGCCTTCTGCACCTTACCCCTATCCATCTTGCCCCTCTGGACCTTGGGTTTGGAACATAGGCAACATGGAATTAGCAGGCATTGCCCTCAGAAGCCTTTTCTGTGGCAGTCCACCTCTGGAGGCAACGTCAGAAGTGAGTAGCCCAGATTCTCCCCTCTCCTGCCTGCCTAGCTCCCTTTCTGATCCTCCCAGTTAACCCTACAGTGACTCTTCCACTCTGACTGCTTCCTGCTGTCCTGTCAGCTCTGCCCTGCCCTGCAGTGTGCCCTGTCCTGGGCTCCATCCCGTCCTTACGTCCCCTCTCCCTATAACCTCACCTCCTCTCTGCTTTGGCTCTGACAAAGTTGGAAAAGTCGGAATCCTGTGACAAGCGCAAGCTGAAGCGGGTCCGAATCTCCCTTGCGGTACGTGTGACCCTCCCCCTGCAGTTCAGAAGCCCCAGGCAGGGAGGGCTGGGGCCTAGGTGGGACAAACCTCCCAGAGCCAGGAGTACATCTACCTTCCTGTCTTCCTCCTAGAGTGACTCAGACCTGGAAGGGGAGATGAGTCCTGAGGAGGTAAGATGCCATTTGAGTCTAGAATGGTTCTTCTGAGTGTGTTATCATCTTGGCTAACTAATGGACTAATGGGAAGAACCACAGGGAGGAAGGCTGGAGGTGAGAGTGGAGGTCGGGTTCCCTCTCCCTAATCCTCAGTCTCTTCTCCTCAGATCTTAGAGTGGGAAGAACAGCAACTAGATGAGCCAGTCAACTTCAGTGACTGCAAAATCGACCCCGCCCCCTTCCAGCTAGTGGAGCGGACTTCTTTGCACAAGGTAGGACAGGGTAGGGATCTGATAGTCCTACCTACCTCTGGGCTCAGAAAGAGTAGGAGAGTACACTCGATGCTGCTTATAAAACATACTGCTTTCGGCCATGAAGTCTGTAAGCCCAGACTCCCTAGCCTTGTCCTACTCCTGGTGGAGCCAGGCATCATTTTCCTCTGCTCAGTTACCCCATGGAATTCTGGACCAAAGCAGCAACAAAGACACAGCTTGAGTTGGGTGGAAGCCAGAAGGCCAGGCCAGGGTCAGAGCTAGGCAGGAGACTGCCAGAACCCAACAAGGCTGAGGATACACACCCACACTGGAAAAAAAGAGGGGAGGGGTTGAAAACAGGCCAGATAAGAGAATCTAATAAACAAGCTAACAAACAGTCAAGAGGGATCAGGCCGCTGCAGTGAAGAGATGAACAAAGATGAGACACCAGTAGGGAGCTTGGAATGTCAGACCCCAGAGAGACTAGCAAGCAATTCTACGGAAAACTGGTAGATCAGGAAGGTAGCACAGCAGACAGGGCAAGAGGAATGTGTACAGATAGATGGAGACAGATGGGTACACACGTGAAGAAGGCATGGGCTCCCAAAGCTGGGGTGGCTGGCACCACTGGGAACCTGAAAGCTGCTATGTAAAGGCAGGGAATGTGAGCTGCCAGCCAAAGCCAAGGGGTATTTTAATCCCATACTTAACAGACTTAATATGTAAGCCTCCATTGGTAGGCACAGACAAGAGTGACAGGTAATGGGGTCAGTGGTCCCAAGGCTTCACCTCGGGTGGCTGGCGAAGACACAAACTGTTGCTGTAAAGTCAGCATAACAAACACATACAAGCAGAGGCATGACTGGAAGAAGACAAAAACAAAACAGCTGGGTGGTGGTAGCCCAAGTCTTTAATCCCAGGAGAGGCAGTGGGAGCTCTCTTGAGCCTGGTCTACAGAGCAATTTCAAGGACAGCCAGGGCTACACAGAGAAACCATGTCTTCAAAAACAAAACAAAAAAGAAACAAAGCAAAAACAGCAGAAGGAACTTGTAGAGACTTTCAGATAGAGACCTCTGATCAAATGAGGAGCTGCCGCACTAGGGCGGAGGAGGAGATGGGGGAGAAGGTACGACAAGCTGCATCCAGAACCTGGCCTCCCGAGACCTCAGGTCTTCCCAGTCATCAGCCATCTTCTTTTTTAGAGACAGGATCTCATATATCACAAGCAGGCCTAGAACCATGACTGCCCTGGTCTCTCAGGAGACTACAGACATGTACCATCATGCCCTGCTATGATCCCCTTGTCTGTCATACGTAACGGTTGTGATGACATGCTTTGAGCTCTTGCTAAGTGCCAGGCACTGTGCTAAGGTCTTCATGTGTGTAAGTTAGTTCTCACAGCCATGCTAGCTGATGGGTAATGTGACATTCCAATGTTGTGACTTTTTTTTCCTGAGCCAGGGTTTCTCTGTAGCCTTGGCTGTCCTGGAACTGATTCTATAGACTAGTAATGCCACTCTCACAGTCTATAAACTTCACAAATGGCCAGCCACTATAAGTAATTAGCACAGCATGAGAGAACTCAGAGATCCACCTGTCTCTGACTCCCAAATGCTGGGATTAAAGCCATGTGCCACCACCGCCTGGTGTGACATTCCAATTATTATAGAAGAGGAAATTGTAAAATAAAATTGTATAAAGAAATTAAATTGCCCAGAGTCAAACATCCAGGGAGTAGCCACCTTGGGCATGGACCCAGACACAGTCCAACCTAAAATCCTGTGGTCACGCAGTAAGAATGTCATTTGCCTGCATCAGTCTCTCAGAGCCAGCAGGCCCAAGACCCAGCTCTCCTGGCGAGGTCCTCAGAATTCTTTCAGAAGGCTCCGTTGTCCTTCTCCCTGTCAGTTCAGTTTCCCAGGCCCACATAATGTGGACCCACCCACCAATGGGCTCCCTGGTGTCCAATTAAATTAAAATGGAAAAGAACAAAGTAGATGTTTGTTATAAACTTAAACTACCACAGGAAGAGAAGAAGCCTCCAAGGAACCAGTAACAAAAGTACAAAGGATGGGAATGATAACATAAAAGATCAGAATTCTACAGATTCAATTCTCAATTAGAATCTACTTACTAAGAAAGCAGTGAGCAGTAATTCGTTTTAAGTTCAGGAGGGGCACTTTCAGAGGGCAAGAACACATGAGACTCTTAGGAACCTCACAGTAGCACGAGCTACAGTGGGAAGAGATGAGGAGGCCGAAGAGCTCAAGGTGACGAAGCAAGACTGGCTGAACCCAAATCCTCCCTTGCCTGGCTGTAGAAGTTAACAAGTAGATTAGCCATTCTGGGTTTCCCTATCTAAGTTGGAATGGCATAAACTGAGTATGATGGCTGCATGCCTGTAGTCCGACACTCAGGAGGTGGAGGATCAGATGATCAAAGGCATCCATGAGCTACATAGCAAGTTCAAGACCACCTTGATATGTGAGACCTTCCCTCCAGAAGCCTGGGAGCTAGGCACAACAGAAAGGCAAGCCCGGGCCACTCAGGTTTGGAAAGGCCCTGGAATGGCAGAGCCTAGTTGGAGAGGCAGGAAGTAAGAAAACTCATTCCATTCTCGGTCCAGAGCATAGTGAGGCAGAGCTGGGCAGAATGGCAGAAGTGGAACAGTGACGAATGTGGTGACTGCCAGCCACAAGCTATACACAGACCTATAAAAGCACATTGCCTGCCAGGTCACTATGATTGGGAATGAGAAGGAAAACAGAACTGTTTAATAGCTCCTTCAGAGAAGGTAAGGAGGATTACATGACCTTAAGCTAGGAGATCTTATAGTAAAGATGTTTCCCCCAGAGGAAGACAAGGAAAGTAAGGCTAATTTGTAGCATGTAGGATCCCTTATACAACAGGAGATTGCTAAACTACATGACAATTACAGGTATTGAAGAAACATTGACTTCAATGACTGAATTTCTAAGGTGGGTGTAGTGGCACACACCTATAATCCAGTACTTACGAGGCTGAGGCAAAAGCACCATTATAAACTAAAGGTCTGCCTGGGCTTAAGTGGGTAGGAGCCTTACCCAGTATATATGACACCCTGGCTTCAGTCCCCAGAACCACCAACACTGAGGCTTTGGTTTAAGTATGCCGGGTCTTGTCCTTCCCATAAGCTAGTATAAGAAAGTATGTAAGATAAGATTCAAGAGTCACCCCATCTTGAATCACCTGTTATGCCAGGAGGCTCGTAAATGTACCCCGAATGGTAGATAACCAATTCCAGGAAATGCCAAGAGCTGTTTTCAAGACAGCAAATGGAAACAGTTGATAACGTCTGAAGCCTGGTGGTCACATCTGACGGCTTGGGAAAGCACGATACAAGCAGCCTTGAGACAGAAACATACATTCTCAGAGCTCAGATGTCCCTCCAGCAGCCCCTCCTATCACACCCCCAGTTTGCCCTAGACCCCTTTGGCTTGTGATTCTGAGATATCAAGCCCAGTGTTTCTGCTCCCTGTTCTACAGACTCACACCATCTTCTCACTCCTGGGAGTGGACCACGCTTATGTCACCAGCATTGGCAGACTCATTGGGATTGTCACCCTAAAGGAGGTGAGGTGACAAGACCAAAGCCACTTACACTTCCTAATAGCATCAGAGCTGTCTGGCCTCCCCAAGGGGACATGCTGGGGAGGGGTCTGAGTCGGTGGCACACATCTGACTCTTACCTTTCCAGCTCCGGAAGGCCATTGAAGGCTCTGTTACAGCACAGGGTGTAAAAGTCAGGCCACCCCTTGCCAGTTTCCGGGACAGTGCCACCAGCAGCAGTGACACAGAGACCACTGAGGTGCATGCGCTCTGGGGACCAAGATCCCGCCACGGCCTCCCACGAGAGGGTACCCCCTCCGATAATGATGACAAGTGCCAGTGAATCCCTTACTGGATGGCCTGTATTCCTTCTGCAAGCAGCAGTGACCAGAAGCTGGGACCCAAGGCCACCCTAGCTGCTGGGGGATCAGCAAATGCTGGGGGATGAGGTGGAGTTCTGTGGCCCCACCCCATCTTTGAGAAAAGGGCAGAACTAAAAATGGGTTTATACTGGAGCCTCCAATGACAAGATGTATATAGAAATTTACAAAGATTTTTATATTAATTTAATAAAACAATAAATAGAATAACACCTAATTAGCCACTCATGTATAGAACACTTGTGCTGTTGGCTCATATTTTCACTTTGGATCCTCTTACCTATTGCCCAAGCCTCTGAGATTCATTCTGCAGCCGCCTGCCAACCCGTGTCCTCGTCATATCGGATCGGCCACAGGCCTCCACGGGCTGATCAGGAACACCCTGCCTGAGACAGGGCCCCTATCACTGTGGCCACAGCCTTCTTCAGCCAAGAAAAGCACTACCCTCTTTCCTCCCCCAAGGACAGCTACTCCTTCATGACTGTCCGGTCATTGGCACAAATCTGGCTACCTGGGTGGCCCCCTTGTGGTCCTCTATGAAAGGACAAGGCCCTCCCAGCTCTGTAACAAGCAGAGCCGGTCCTTCTTCCAGTTCCACCCTACTGAGACTCTGCGTGTGCCCACACAGCCTTGCCATGCTGGGGAAGGGTCAGGGTTGAGGAGAGGGAGGGAGGGGGCAAGGGCACACTCGTTCATTTCCAGTGCCTCCCAAAGAAGATCGCCTCAAAGAACAGACCAGAAACCCCCTGTCTTTAGGGGAAAAAAAGGTTTAGAGACAATGGAGGGGTGAAGCACAGCAGAACCCAGCTGGGCTAGGAGACTCTGAGGGGATGGCTCAATCTGTAGACTCCAAGAGGGCAGGAGCCAGCCCCACAGGTGGAGGTGCTTCAGTCACGCACTGCACATGGACTCGGGTAAAAAGAAAAGCACAGGAGAGGGGCACTGGGGAGGGGGGAGGGTATGTGGCCAGGCTTCCTCCATTCCCACCATCCCGGCCCAGTCACAACCCTCTCAGGTTCACATCCCAGGAGAAAATGTGGCATTTTGGATTCAAAAAACATGAACGTCACTGTCTGCCACAGCTGTAGCCATGCCCCAGGAGCCCCGGCAAACCCCAAGAGTGGAAGCAGGACATGCGCCCCTAGCCTGGCCCCTGCCTCCTCTCCAAACACTTTCATGCAAAACACACAATGGAGAAGTGAGTGCTCCCAGAAGCCCTCTAAAGCTTCAGAGCCCACATTTGGCCACAGAGGCTCTGCCCCAGGCAGCAGCCCAGGGAAACATGCCACCACTGGGCATGTCTGGGTCACTGGCCCACCTCATCCTCATCTAAGGATACCACCCCAGAAGAGGCCAAATCAGAGACTTGCTGCTGTCTTTCCCAGCTGCCTGTGGGCAGGGGGCAGAGCAGCTGGCAGTCCTTGCAAGAATCGGGCTCCTCTTCGGTAGGGGAAAGGCAGGATTCTGAGAGTGGTGAGTTGTAAAGGGAGTCCTGGGCCTCCAAAGGACCCAGGCTGCGGAAGGCACTTTCCCGGCTGGGGGGCAGTCTGGCGAGGAGCAGCTCTTCACCCAACATCTGGGAGGTCATCCTGGCTGGGGAGCCCAGTAATCCATCCTCCAGGCTACACAGACTAGAGCACAGGGTATCTGGGGACACGGTCTGTGAACAGTCGCTCTCTGGCTCCACAGAGCCCTGGCGTACAGGCCGGGAGAATCGACGACCTGTGAAGAGGTCCTGGAGGCGGGACCCCAGAGGCCCAGCCATGTCTGTGAAGGGAAGTAAAAAAAAAAAAAACAGCTTTGCTGGCCCCATTTCAGTAGGTCTATGTGGAAACCATATAATCACAGACCCCCTGAGCCCTTTTACCCTTATAGCTATGGGGAGAGGGGCTAATAGGGGAGTTAGTAGGAACTGGGTAACCTGAACAAGCCTTAATTTTTGATACCTCAGTTCTTTTCATGGTGAATTAGGAATTCTAATAATATCTACTTATAGTATTAGATCAAGAGGAGGCAAGCAATCAATGCAAGACCACTATGCACCCATGCAGGTTGCTCATTCCTCAAAGCAGTAAAGGCTAAATTGCCCTTGCTCTGACCACAAAGCAGGGGATCCTAACCACGGGGCTGTGCCCACCAGAAAAAGCCGTGCATTTTTTAAAAATTTGCTCAAAGATTATGCACAGACTTTCAATAAATGTTCAAGGTTAGCCTAGGCTCTATACTAAGTAGCCTGAGCTATAGTAAGACCCTTTCTCAAAAACAAAATAAATTAAGACCAAAAAAAAAATCACAAAATACTTATGAGTCCACCTTGGCCTTAAGCATTCAACTCAGCCCTCTCTGGACCAAGGCAGCAACTCTGTGCCTAGTTTAAATGCAGGTTTGGCCTTGAAAACCTTGTTAATTAGCCAGAGGAGTAGGAACTAGTAGGTGATCTTCAAAGGCAAAGAGTCAGGGACTGGGGGCAGGGGTCCTATGAGGCCAACCACCAGAAGCTGCAGGGAAAGCTGGCCTCTCGCAGTCCAGGGAACAGGAGATGAAAAGAGCCGAGCACAGCTGCAAGGCCCCCAGGGTCCCTTTCTGCAAGTACTGGCCCAAAGCAAGACCCGCAGGCTGGAATACAAAGATGCTGAGCTGGAGCCAGCATCCTGTGGAGTCCAGGCCCAGCATGCCTTCCTGTTTGCTTGGGATCTCTGCCCTGTGAGGTGCTGGGTACTGATCATCTGTCCAGCACAGGCAACCAAAGCCCCCTCAAAGAGGTAAGGCAAGAGTACCCCAGATTCTTCTGGAAACAAGACTGTACTATAGGGTAGGGAAGAAGCACCAAGTTCCCTGGGCTTGTTTCTTCTTCTGAGAACTGCAAGGCTCACTACACAGAGAGACCAGGCTCAGCACCTATAGAAAAGAGCTGTTCCATTTCCAAGCGCTGTTTTCCCACCTGGGAGTAGCTGGTGATCTTTGTCCTGGGATATCAAGGTCAGCCTGGATAGTCCCTTTCCTCCTGTCTGGAAGACTTAGTTGCTCTGACAGGCTCAGAGTGAATCATACCTACCAGGCAAGCTCACTCCAAGTGACAGCACTAAACGCTCCTCACCTGTGTCAATTCCTCCAGTAAAGTCCTCGTCATAAGAGTCATCAGTGGAGTCATCGCCATCTACCGAAGACCATGCCCGGAGCTTGGCTTCCGCAATAGCAAACTGCTCGGCCACTCCTATTAGAGAGACACAGCGCTCACTGACATACACAGGACTAGGGCTTGCTTTGCAGACAGATGTCCCTGAGGTCTCTGGGCAGAGAGAGGTGTATGAAGAACTCCAGCCCCAATGCCAGACCCAGTGAGATTAGAGGCAGCACTCCTATGACAAATCTATAGGGCTAATTCCCTTCCTGCTACCTACCTGCTGCAAAGCGAGCCTCTTGTTCACCCTCACTGAGGTCTGAATAGGAGGAAAAGGCTGATTCCAGAGCAGCTGGTGAGTCACTAGGCTTGCTCCAGCCCTTCCATTCGATAAGGTGGGCCACACGGCCCTGGGCCATGGCTGTGGGCTTGGTCACGTGGTCCTTCACTACCTGAGAAATACCTGGAGGTGGGAGAGAGAAGTTGGGTTGAGGGCAAAGACAAGGAAATAGCCAGTATGAAAGTAGGTGAAGAGAGTAACAAAGTTTCTCCATGTCCTTCAGGTAGGAGGAGGGAGGGCTAGGATTGATTTGCAAAAAGAAATCTCCGAAAATGCCTACAGGAAATATTCCCACAGTAATCAGTCCCACAATACATGAGGAAAAGAAGGAAGGAAGGACAAAGTGGACAGAGGAACAGACGTGGGGTATGTACCATGCAGGGACGATCTGGCCAGCGCAGCGATCTCCTGGATGGTTAGAGCTCTCCGGGACTTGGGCAGCATCGCGACTGTGTCTCCAACATTCACCTTGAGTAACACCATCAGAAGGTCAGTGAAAAAAACAACCTTCTTTCCAACATGCTCCTGCGTGAGCCAAGGCCCCATTGGTAGCTGAGAGTTGGAAGAATACTAGGATGCCATGTCATATATGCCCTGTATGTGGGATAATGGCACCGTGGCCACTGGCATGCAGAAAGGGCTAAGAAGCTGGAGTCCACAAACTATCTTCCCAGGGAGCAATGGAGACTCAGGTCCAAGAGAACAAAAGTAGAACTGAGCCTCCACTTTCTCAGCTCCCAGCAAGGAAGGAGACAAATGAAGAATTGTGGAGTGGAGCCTCTGGAGAAAGCATGGGCCTGATGGTGTGGTACATGCCTTTAATCCCAGCTCTCAGGAGGCGGAGGCAGGTGGATCTCTACAAGTTGAGGTCAGCCTAGTCTACAGAGCAAGTTCCAGGACAGCCAGGGTTATACAGAGAAACCCTGTCCTTGAAAAAGAAAAACAAAACAAAACAAAGACAGGGAAGGAAGGAAAGGAAAAGGGAGACGGTAAGGCAAACATGTTATGGTTTCCTCCTCTCCTCCATCTGTCTTTAGATATATGTCCAGCTCTTTCAAGACTGCCTGCCAGAGCCACACACTCAGCATGACCAAAGCCAAGGCAATACATTGACTTCCTCACATCTGCGTTTGTTTCCTAACTTCCTGTTTATCCATAACTATTCTCCATTTCTCAGGATCACAATCAACTCTGCCCTAGGCTTTGCCTGTACATATTTGATCCTAAAATCTACGAGGGTGCCAGGGAGTGGAGCTTAGTTGGTATAGCGCTTGCCTATCACTCAAGAAAGCACTGCTTGGTCCCTAGCACCACAGAAACCAAGCCTGTGACAACTGGCATATGATGCTAGTACCTGGGAGGTGAAGGGAGAGGATCAGAAGTTTAAGGTCATCTTTGGCTACTAGGAAATTGAGGGCAGCCTATCTCAAAATAAACATATCTCTGACAACGAAGACTCCCTCTTGTTCATGCGTGGAAGCCTTCCTTGACACTGTTCCCACCACTGCTTTCCTTAAGCCCTCCCTGGGCCCCTCCCCAGGTTAGCATAGATCATTGGTCCCTAACCTCCTGTACTTTCTCAGCCAGGAAATCTGTACATAAAACCCTTTCTGTTCTTTCACGCTCTATCACTTCCCATGGCTGGCCTTCTCATCTTTCCAGTTGTGACTGAAGTATCACTCCCTCAGAGAGGCTTTCCTACTACTCAAATAGTGGTCTGTCCTCTCACTAGAGTCTCCAACGAATCACTATATTCTACCAACGAACCATTAATGGAGCCTTCTTGCCAGGTGTAAATATTATAAACATGGTTTTCCTTCGTTGGTCTTTGCCTCTTTGAGGAATTCAGTTTTTTATAATCACTGCTGCAGCCCAGTATTTAAATAATACCTGGTAATAAGTTAATGTATGGGCCAAGTTAATAAGACAAAGTATAAAGGTAAAGCTTCCACACACACACATGTGTGTGTGTGGAAGCTTTTTTAACACCCTCCAGTCTCACGCGTGGCCCCTCCCATGCTTTGTCTTGTCTTGTACTCCGGAGGGAGCACGAGACAACAGGGTCAGAGTTAAATCCATATGGGCTCCTAACTCTATCCTGTACCTGACTTAATGCTCCTTTGATAAGCCCCAGCAAATGTTTTCCTATGAAGAATGTAACTGAGGCACACACCCCCTTCCCAGCATTACCTAATTCTCCTCCATCATGGTTGGTTCCACCTGGCACAAGCGGCCTCCACCTGCCCCTTGACCTCAGGCCCATCCTCTGTCCCTCTCCTTCAGTACCTGACTGACAGGGCCTCCAGATTGGCGCCGATAGCCTCTGGCCAGGACTGTGCGAAGGAGAACCTGGCAGGTGCTTCCTGGCCCGCTCTCCCTCCCTCCCCTCTCTTCCCCTAGCCGGGGCCATCTATGCCAGGCAACGCTCCGCGCAGCTGCAGCCCTGGCCCAGAGAAAAGGTGTATATCTCCCTGGCAACCCATCACCATGCAACAGGGTCTCCCGGGATACGGCCTGGGATGCGCTGACGTCAGCACCGAAGGCGCTAGCAAGCCAGCCCACTGGCACCACGCCGAGCAGAGCAGACCGGCGCGGGGGCGGCCTGCCGGATAGCGCCTCCGCTAGCAGGAAAAAGAGAGCCCGAAGCAGGATGGTGAAGCAGGAACGGGAAGGGTTCACACGAACCCTCAATGTGAACGCCACCCCCCCACCCCCCACCCCACCCCCCGCCAAACATGCACAGAAAAGGCGCAGCACCTCTGGCAAGTCCTGGCTGTCCACGGAAGAAGGACGCGGGGACCGGCTCCAGCCTCGGAGAGTCCGAGCAGATCCCAGGGAAGACAGAGAGAGACCTCGAGGGAGTTCGATCCACTCCACAGCCCAGGCAGGCTCCGAAGCCACTGAGGATTCGGAGGGAAAGGTGTTCATCGGCATTCCCCACATCTACCAAGACTGCCATTTTCATCGTGTTGCCGTGTCATTTTTTATTACCCCTCCCCCATCTCGCAGACAATCTGAGACCACACACGTACTCTCCTGAAACCCCCTATCACACAGCTGACTGTAGGGACCCTTTTGCGGCATTCCTTCCTCTACAACTATTTTGAACTTAAGGTGTAACCCAAACATGGGTAAATCCTGAACTCTTCTCCCAGCTTCTCAACCCCTGGAAAGTACATGAAATTTGCCCACCAACAATGCCCTCCTCTCCCACTCTCCTTCTCCCCATGATTCTTTCCTCTCACCAATCTCAACTGGTCTATCATTCTATTGTTTTCCAACAAACCCATGATTGTTCTAAGTTTCACCCTTGTAAGCCATTATCTAACCCAACCTGAGTCTCCCCCTTTCAGTGTTTCCCAATATCTAAACCAGAGTGATTTTCCTCTCCACATCTGGCGTTCCTTTCTTCTCAGTTTCCCATCTTTTCCCAGATCACATCCATGATCTCTGCTCTCACCTCTGCGACTTGTCTGACAAGTCCATCGTCCTCCAGGCCCTTCGCGCTGCCACAGAAACATTTTCCCCAGCACAGAAATCATAGGCATGCTGGCTGTGTTGATGCAGAGAACCCAACGCCTGAACTGCTTCAGGCTCAGCTCCCAGTTCTATTCTCGTTTTGGCTCCGGATGCTGAGCCAGTCCCCTCCCCACTTGGAACTTGTGCCTAGTCACATAAGGAGAACACGCCTGTCTCATAGCTTTGAGGAAGTGGGAGTGCCAGGGACCTCGCCAAGTTCTCTAGCTTGTGGAGCTGAGGTTCGTCCTTAGCTTACACAGTGCCAACTGGCCATGTACATCACAACTAACCTTTTAGCTGGAGCAGGCGTCTCTTTCCCTGGGCCTCAGCCAGTTGGAGGTCCCCAGAAATGCTACCAACCAGAAAGAAGACAGGTTATTTACTGGCTATGCCTGATTCCTAGCTGGTACCCCATCAGGGCTCTCAAGGCCAGCCCTGAGGTCAGTTAAACTCTTCCCTCACTACAGGAAGGGATGACTTCCAGAACTCCATGGGGACCAGGAGAGTCAGAGCGCTCTACTACTTCTCAAATTCATAACCCACGAGGTTATTTCTGGGACTACAAATCCCAGAATTCAAGGAAAGTACAAATTTCAGCCGAGTTTACTTGTAAAACACCTCAAATATCAATCATACTAATGCTTTGTGTGATTGACCACCAGCTTGGAAATCCTAGGACCCATTCCAAACTCATTCCTTGACATAGGAGGTAGGCTGGCTGACCTGGAGCTAAATCACTCCTCATCCCGCCCTCCACACGTTTTCATGAAAACCAAGGCCTGAGCAGGGCTCAGCTGCTATAGGAAGACCTGATGATGTCTTGGCTTAGGACTTTTTCTGCCCTGAGTAAGTGTGATTTGGTTTTGGTTTGGGTTTTTTTTTGGGGGGGGGGGGGGTTAATAGGAATAAAATTATTGCCGGGCAGTGGTGGCGCACACCTTTAATCCCAGTACTTGGGAGGCAGAGGCAGGCGGACTTCTGAGTTCGAGTCTACAGAGTGAGTTCCAGGACAGCCAGGGCTACACAGAGAAACCTTGTCTCGAAAAACAAAACAAAATTATCTGTGAGCGTGAGAGATTATCAATTTGCTCACAGATGCTCCACCTAGGGCTTCAGACCCTTTAATCAACCAGCTGGTTCTGAAGCTTGGAGCAAAAAAATTCCGTGGTGGGGTACTTGGCCAGCATTTGCAGGCTGACTCCTAAGGATGATAGCACCCAGGTAGGAGAGGCAGGTTCACAGCAAAGAGCCACTCCTAAGACACTGATATCAGAGAGGTAGGTGTAGGCAATGAAGTATGTAGATACATAGAAAAGGCTAGTTGCCAGGAGCCGGGAAGGTGGGGGCCGCAGGTTGGCCTGCGGCTCCCAGGCTGTGTCCCTGCAGCCACTCTCAGCAGCAGAAACACAGGCAAAAGGCAGAAGGTGAGTACACCACGGAAAAATCCCAGTAGCAGGGAGGCCACAGGAGCAAGCCAGAGTCAGTTAGCCCCCTCGCGGTATGCTCATCTGGCCCAATCCGCCTCCCTGACGCAGGCTCCTCCCTCTCCTTATACCAGCCCCCTCCTCACCGCCCCTACCACCCACGGCCCCACCTGACAGCTATGTAGCCCGACTCCCTATTCATGCTCCGGCTTCCGCCTCTTACCCTGACCGGCTGAGCGCCGAGAGCCAATACAGCCCATGGCAGGGCACCCAGGCACACTAGCCCGCGCTCGGGACCCGGGCCATCGCCTTGTAGAGGGTCGGGCCGCGGTCACCACCAGGGAGGGGACAGCCTGTGAGAAGGGGAGGGGGTGGGAGCAGCGCTTCTGCTGCCGCTCCCGGGAGAGGGGAACAGGGCCGGTGACGTAAGCGTGGGGCTGTACCCACCCAGAGCAGGCGGGGCAAGCCTACGTCACAGCCACTCAGTGACAGCCTGGGTCTCACAGCATCTCCAGTTCACTGCGGAGCCATACTGATGACAGAAGCCGGTAGGCCATGCAGTCATTTACGTAGGACATCCCACTTATGGCTTCTTCAGACCTCAAACTCAGATCAATTTGGTAGGAGCAAAAGTACCCCTACAGCACTCATTTCATCATGTCAAACTGATCCGGAGATCCCAACCCTCCAGAAAAGCAACTCCCCAGGTTCCCAAAATTTTCTGACAGGGAAAAGAAACAAGTTATCAATGATACAGTGGCCAAATCTGGTAAGAAAGATGCCCACCTATCCATACTTCTCCAACGGTGCAGATCAGTAAAGAGGCAATAAACTTAATTGAATTCATGTTTAATAATTACAGGCACCGTGCCCCCCCCTTTCCCCTGCCCAGGCAGCAGCAGGGGTGGTGCAGGGGCTGGGGCATATGCCCCCAGCAGCGAGGACGGCAGTCCCAAGAGTGATTTCAGAAAATAAAAAAAAGGACCCTAGAGGCAGGCGGTAGTGCCCCTCCCCCCGCAGACACACCAAATTTCAAGACTTTATATATATCTCTGTGCCCTGGGGGGAGGAGAGAGACACTTGGCAGCATCCTGGAGGGGGGGCCCCAGGCAGCCCCAAGCCATCCTGCCTCATCAGCCACTTTATTAGCTCAAGACACATCGCACTACAGGCACCCACTGCCACTGCTGCCGCCGCCCCCCTGCAGTCCAGGCGGCTGGCTGGCTGGGCCATCCAAGTGTCCATGGCTCCAAGTCCCCTGCCCCACCCGCCATCAGTTGTGATCAGACTCCTCGTCCTCAGCCTCACGAAGCCAATTGAAGAATGCTGTGACAGATTTAAGGGCCACACCCTTGCCCTGCTGTTCAGCAGGGTCCTTGCTGCTCTCCCAGCTGTAGAAGGCGTCTTCCTTCACCACGTCCTCATCATATAGAGCATCAAAGAACATCCGAAGCAGGTCTGCAAGCCACAAACACATCAATTAGGTGACTAGTCACAGCCTTAGCAGTCTATATCCAGAGATCCCTCCCAAAGAGACACTGTTCTAAACACAACCTTCACCTACCATCCTGGTTTTCAGAGTGACTAGGCCTCTGACAGAATGCTAATCTCCTGACAGAGACTACCAGCCCAAGAATGAGTTACTCAGCCATTACCAATCCTTAGAGACAGGCACGTAAACTCAAATATTTGGGAGACTAAGGGCAGATCAAGATAGTAAGCTCAAAGCCAACTCTGGCAGCTTAGCAAAACTGAAAGGTGAAAGACTGAGGCCAGGTATGGTGGCACACACCTTTAATCTCAGAGCTCAAGAAGAAGATAAGGGTAGATCTGAGTTTAAGACTAGCCTGGTCTGCAATAGATTTTTCTAGGCCAGCTAGATCTCTACACAAGTGAGACCATGTCTCAAGAGAACAAAAGGGGAAGGAAGGCTGGGTGTGACGGTATATGCTTTTAGTCCCACCACTTGGCCAGCCTGGGTCTATAGCTCGAGACTATACAGAGAAACCTTGTTCCAAAAAAAACCAAAACAAAAAGGGAAAATGTTAGGGCTGGTGGCCAAAACTGGAATCTCATTACTTGGATATAGAGTGCAAGAGGATCAAAGTTAAAGAAAGCCCAAACTAGTGTGAGGCCAGCCCAGACTACTTAAGATGGCATCCCAGAGGCCGGGCAGTGGTGGCGCACACTTTTAATTCCAGCACTTGGGAGGCAGAGGCAGGCAGATTTTGAGTTTGAGGCCCGCCTGGTCTACAGAGTGAGTTCCAGGACAGTCAGGGCTACACAGAGAAACCCTGTCTCGAAAAACAAATAACAACAACAACAAAAAAGGATTGTATCCCAGAAGACAAAAGTAAGTAAGTAAAGTTAGCCATCTGGATCCAACTCTAGGTCCAGCATTAGAATCCATGGCAGGCAGATTCCCAAACATGGCCTCCTCTTTCCCACATTTGTACCCTCTCTGACCTGTAGAGCATACTAAACTCCGCCCAGTGGTTATCATTTCTCTTACCATCTTATCTTCCTGATGAATCTCCCAGGAACCACCTCTGACTCTTGTTTGTCTTTAGCCATCACAGCAACTTTCCTCAGGTGCTTGCCTTACAATGCAACCCCAGAACACAGTCCACTACATTCCTTATGAACTGCACTAAGTGAAGCACAGGACCTCAAGCCCAGCTTCAAGGTGATAAGTTAGCTAAGCTTACCAACTATGGGAAGTTCAGGACAAGAGAGTCCTCTGGGTTTTCCACATCTCTATGGGTATAGCTGATCCTTCACTATCCCGCATCTGTGCTCCAAAACCCATGTGCCCTCTCAGAGAACCATGTACTACTCTTATCTACTTTGCCCTACATATTTACCTGTGTTAAGTTCAATCTTTACACAGAACTACCTTTTAACTACCCATAGCTAAACGAGACTTTTCTTTCTGTTTATCTCAGCCACCAATCTCAGTCCTTTCCAATTCAGAACTTGGACTCCTACCTACTCCATCAAATTCTGTAGCTTACTAGGAAGACCTTGATGTTTTAAATACTCAAAAAAGTTTTTAATTTTTAGATAGGCTCCTGCCACACAGTAGTATCTAGCATTTTCAACCATTTTCCTATACAAAATTTCTTTTTGCTCTCACAGGTCTTTACTCTGTGTTCTCAATTTTGACAGGGTATTCTCGAGGTAATCCCATTCCAAGCAAGCCTCAGTCTCCTCCACTGTAGAATGCAAGTAGTAACAGTAATTTAAAGGTTCTCATGTTTTAAAAGTACGGTTTTGGTTTTTGTTTTGATGTATGTAGCCCTGGTTGTCTTGATCAGAGACCCACTGACTCCTGAATGCCACCATGACCAGCTGGGGTAGGGGGTCTTCTCTGAAACAGGGTGTAATTAGTCATCCCAGGCTGGCCTCACACTTGTAGAGATCTTCTCTGTCTCTGGTGTTAGGATCACAGGGTGTTACACCACCATTCTCAGCTCAAATTCTTAGCTTATAATCTCTCAAAAGAGTCATTTCATTCTGTGCAAGTCCCCAGTCAGTACTTACATGGCCAGTACTTACATGAAGTATCTGCCCCTCACTCCTACTTCTCCAATTCCTCGTGTTCATAACTGCTGTACTTATTTCAGTAGCTC